CTTCATTTTTCCTTTTTTGACCAGTTTATGCTTGAAATAAAGTCATTATTTTTAATCCATTTTTTTATTACAGTGTAATACAAAATGCAAATATAGCCACCATGTCAGCCACTGTTTTGTGAACTAATGTTTCGAAGTTTCAAATGTGGAATTTCTGGCTATCGCCTTCTTGTTGTTGTTATAATTATATGTAACCACATTTGGGTTCAGCTTACATTGAGAAGTTACCTTAGAAACTTAACAGTGACTCAAAACAACAGAATAATGTGCACTAAAACCAGGAGAGATGTGAGACATCCAGTTGATATACAGATATGTAATGTGCTTTGTTTCATAACATTTTTCTTTATGTAGTTGTCCGTGCTGATCTACTTTTTGATCAAACTCTGATGTTATCATGTGCAGCTTTTGGGACTCACTCCTTAATTTATAGTCCTAGAGGTTGTCACTTGGTTGCATTCAGGTCATCATCGGCAGTTTTTCAGTCTTTTAATTCTGCATCTCTCCTCTGATCCATGATGAACTCTTCCACGATGCCAGAAGTAAGTAAACAGAAAAAAGGGGAAAACTTAGAAATGAGAGACATTAAAAATTAAAGTTAGAAAGTAAGAGAAGCTGAAAAAGTCCAGACACAAAACAAGCCAGATGGAAAATTTTTGCAAGAAACATCAGGACGCACTGTTTGATACATCAAATGGCCATTCTGAGGCAGCTAGGCTAAGTCTGAATATCCAGATGTTTGATTTGTTAATTAAGTCTCCATGGTAGTTAATCATGTTGTTTTTTTCCCCATCTGACAACAGCAGGTAAAAAGAGGAGAATGACCCTACAATATAGAGATCTGATACATGTGGAGACAAGCTGCATTTGTTCTTTGTGGTTCATGTTTGAAAAACACGCCAGCAGCCAAAAAAGTTGTTCAGTCAACAAAATAAACACAGAAATCCACTCACAGCAGTGGAGTCATTTAGGGAATATTCATTTTTTGTCAGATCTGTTAAAGCATACATCTTTGTCTTCATTTATTTATGGCTCAAATGAAAGTACAATTGGTTCAGTTATACTGTGGAGAAAGAAGCAGCATAAACCTGTACCAACGTCCCCTCTAGTGGAGACTTGTAGCCTTGCAAGTGGCAAAGGACTCTTTCTGGCAGAAGACAGGCCAAGATGCTGGATGAAAGATAGCAAATGATCAATTCTAGGTATATTTTTTTTCTTAAGAGTGAACTTCAAAAGCTCCATGTCACCCACCTGAATTCTTGATTGAAAAAAAAATTGCAAAGTGTGTATGGTAAGTGTAAATTTAAGTATTTTACGCCTTAAAACAAAAAGGAAAGACAAAAAGACTACCATGACAAATTCGATCAGGATTAGGTGCATTAGTGAAATGTCTTACATGCCACTGTGTGTCACGAAATGATAAGTCATCTATATTTGTCTCTCTAAAACAGTTGTTTGTAATTATAAGGCTGACACACTTAATCGATTTGCACGCATTTCCCTGACAGTCCAGATTAACAAGCAATAAGACTTTATTAGCAATATGCACACACGCACTTACACATTTGCTAGGCATCAATTAAATTCACATATGGTTGGAGTAATTATCGTTATAGATAACTAAAATGAAAGGGGAGATATCAATGTGAAAAAGGAGGGTGAGTTGCCCTGGAGAAAAGAAGAGCAGGGAGTGAATGTGAGGGCCAGGGAGGCTAGTAGCAGAAACTCCATAAGAAAACAACAACAGCTGTTTCGCTCGTGGCTAAAAACAGGATTGAACAACAACATCATTTGCTAAGAAAATGATCTGGGAAAAGAGATTGTACTGGCTCAAAGATAAGAAATGGGATGACTCTGTGGGGTAGGTTTTAGACTTTTGTCTTTTCTCTGCAGTCTTTGATGTTATTAAATCTGTTGTTTTCTGTGAATGTAAAAACACAAATACAAAAAAAAGAAGAAAGAAGAGGAAACTTTTGTCTCCATGAAAGGATACAATCTGATCAATAAATACTTCTTTCACTTCCTTCTCAAATAGAGAAAAAGCTGATAACTCCAAAATTTGTTCAAGAGAATTGCTCAAATTGGTGTGGAAAGAGGAACCAAATGTAGGCTCTGATGGGTCACTGATAGTACACGTTAAAAAAGCCCATTATTTTTGCTGAGTTTTGCAAACATAACTTGATCATGCTACAGTATAATTTCATGTTTTGCTATTACACAAACAACATGTACTGAAATTATATCTGGCACAAAACCCTCCCTAATTCTCTGCCAGAGAAAGTGTGAACACACTCTCGACTGCTCTGCCCTTGACTTGTATCCATTCATCCAAGCGTGCTGGATGGTTTAGTTAATTAAGCTTAATCTAGCCCTAGAGACAGATATGAGTGCTGTTAGAGAGGCCCACTGAGCTGTCCCTATACACTCTTCTCAGGACCCCCAGTGGAGCCATCATGGCCTTACAAGTCAACCATAATCAAGAACACTGACAGACCCCAAAAGTGATGCATTACTTATATTAAAGTTAAAATATTTGGGCCATAAATAAACAGGGAATTGGTTCATGTAGTGTTCATATTACTGAAATAATATGGCATAACTGACTTTCTCCCAAACATACTTTGAGGTAAATGCAGGGATGTCAGAATGTTCATTTGACTTTAATCAATTATATGGAGAATTTATTATTCTACTGATAATTCAGAGAGTTAATTTGTTTTGCATGTGTGTCAAATAGTGAAGCTCATGCCAGAGAGAATAGAAAACTAATATAATATCTATGCTATTGCAAAAATTACAGATTGAAAATATGTTGTGAGAGACACAACACAAAACACGGATCTTTAACAAATGCAGTTGTTATGCTTTATAACACTCTCAGTCATTTTGTCTTGTTGTGCTTTTTTATTGTTAAATTGAAAATATAGGGCTAAATTGTATAAACACCATGTATAAAATCTGATTTTAAGTTTGTTAAATCAAAGCAAAAATATTAACAATATTAAAATAAAAATAATCACAAATAATAACATTGAATAATGATGTCTGTTTTCTCTGTAGAAAAACACACAACAAGACATTTCCATCTACATTACTTTCTGTCATTACGGTCATTTTTGTTGCCACCTTGTGGGTTGATTTGTTCAGTACAGTAATTACAGAATTACAGTGATAGTAACAATTAGAAGAACTACAACTGAGAATATACAAAGGTTTAATTTTAGAATTTTCACATTTTTCTCTTTTACACATATGACAATGAATGAGCTGGGGTTTTTTGTGTTTGTTTGTTACCCTTGATGCCTTTCAATGTGTGTTATTTTGAAATTCTATTAAAATTAAAGACTAGCCTACAGTTTAAGATGAAATATTATTATTGTGTTGCAGATGAAGGTTTGGTTTAAGCAAGACAGGTAAAGTAAATTGGTAATCCCTCCATATTTTAGAGGTTGAATTTTGTCTTTGGAAAAGCAAAAATCTGATCAGTGAACAGTTAGATTACCAGCACTGATGTAACCTGCAGTTATGCTATCATTCATGACATGCATATCAGAGATAAAAGACGGTAATAGTGTTACAGTGTTATAGTAATAAATAATAACAATAGTAGTAAAATGCATCTTGTACGTTTCATTCTACTTGAGATACAAATTATAATAATAATAATCTAAAATAGTGATTTCTTTCTTTCTTTCTTTCTTTCTTTCTTATTTTTTTTAATATTCTGTGTAATGTCCATGTCCAGGATCATATTGTTTCATATGTTTGTAGGAGCTTTAACACATAAAATTGAGATAGCTACAGTTTCCTACTAGTATGAAACAAGCAGAGCTTAACAATAGCCAACTGCAGCTACAAGATAAACTGATGAGCTTGTTCATTGTTTTTAAACTAAATCATTTGCAGTGATACGGTTTTCCTTCATTATAATCTACTTTAGCTATAGGCCTAAAGTGAATTTTTTCAAGTCACATGTTTTTTCTGATAAATTTTAAGTCATTCTTGCTCTTTCCTACAAACAGTACTGTAACCAGCATATATTTGATCAACCTTTGTCATGCAACATAATATAGAAAGGAAAAAAGTTTGAAAAAGTGTCCTATCACAACTAAAGGAGTCGTTGTCAAAGGTCAAAGGTCAGGGAAAATATGAGCTGTCTGCATTTTACTGACATATACTTCAATTAATATTGTTGACTTGTACTACAATAATGTTCCTTTTGCTGTTTATTTATTCATATAATCAATCAAACATTGTCAGAGCACTTATTTTTATTTCTTTTTTTAAAATTCATTTTCATTTTCAATCTTAGAAATCAAATGTCCAGTTTTAACTCTGTTATAAACATCTGCCATTAATTTCATTGTTGTTTGTTTTTGTTAAAGCAAAACAAAACAAAACAAAGTACCAGAGTGTAGCATCAACTAGCTTTAGTCATTGCAATTTTTTCAGTGCAGCTCATTGTAACATACTCAAATCACTATTTAGATAAATGAAAGCAGCTTCACAGCATTTCAGAAACAGCAAATGAAATGCAGGAATGAGATTCAGATTTCAGAAACATACATTTTTGACTTGGCAAATAAAAACATGTAAGATAGATAAAATATATAAGCTAAGGCAAATATGGAAAAGATGAGAATTAAAATAAAAACAATCTTGATCACAACAGAGTTTGATCAGAAATGTGATCGGCACGGATATTTACATAAAAAAACAAAACGTTACGAAACACAGCACGTTACACATTACACGTATTACGCGAGGTCATCCAAGTTCAACCAGCCCCTTTCTTTAAAGTGAAAAGGTTGTGAAACATAAATTAGTATTGGATATTTTTTTATCACGGTCACACTCTTAAAAAGCAAAAAACTAGGTTAACTTATAATAGTTAAAATAAATTGGCATTCTGGTGGAGAAAAAAAACCTTTGAAAAATACAAAACTATTAGAACAATTTAGGCATGTTTCCTGTTAGAAAAACTAAATACATGGAACTGTCGAGCCTCTCAAGTTTAATACAAGAACTCCAGCAACCTCACTCACAAATGAATGAGGCACAAGAAACCTGGCCTTGTTGTAAAGTTTGGCGGTTTGCGTATCTTTGGTATATTTGTCAGCACTAACCACTGCATAATATCCTCCTCAATCCTCACATTAACAAAAATCAGTCTCTGTTATAAACAGGTGCTATTCAATTTAATTGTTGTTTGTTTTTATCTAATCTAATTAGAGATCTAGTAATATCTTATCGGAACTAAAAACATCTAATCTAATGCTAAGCATCACAAATTCAGATTTCTTCTGTATTTTTTAGAGAAATGAATGCAACTGAACTCCCATCGTTACTAACGTCTCTGCTTTGTGATAAAGGATTACGTAGCATGGGGAGATACCTCCTAAAACTTTGTGCTCCAATTATATGGAACAGAGGACTAAGGCAACAGCAGAACTGAGATAGAGGATAAAGGATAAACCAAGAAAGGTGCAATGCTTCCATCACTGCATGTGCGTGTTTCACAAAACCCCAGATTATAAATGACATTACAGAGTCGCAGACGTGCAGAGGAGTCAAACAAAGAAAAGTCCCAAAAGTTATCCCTAAAATCACTTTTGAAGGCAGTTGCTGCCTGTTTATCTTGCCCTGTTTCATCATTATCCACATGTGGACATGACAGAATGTAGTGATAAGGAAAGGAATGAGAAAAAAAAGGCAAAACTCTGTGTAGACTCGAGCTTGGGTCCATTCAAACAGACACAGTTGAACCTCAAATATGACTTCGGTATACATGAACTGCTTAATGCTTGCAGCAGCACATACCAGCCATACCAAGATGCTAGTAATGAGGACACCACATTTTCTTGAGACCTGTGCACACAGACGTGAAACCTGAACAAAAGAAAAATAATAATGCAACGACATGACAGTGAGGATTAAAATAGAGGCGTACAGTCCTAGATAATAAACTGCTGTCATGAATCCACAGACCCACTCTCCAAAGATCCAGCTACGGAGTAAATTACAGGCCTCAAATGGCAAGGTCACAGTGATGCAAAGGTTAGATATTGTAAGTTGCAGAAGTAAGATATCGGGTGTGATCTTCCAAGCTTGTTCTTTTCGGATGACCCACATCAGGAAGCTGTTTCCGGACAGGCTGATGCAGAAGAAAATAATAATGGCAGCAGCACAATAGCATTCGAGCGCCGACAGTGGAAAGTCATCCTGACTGCTTTCAGTCTCATTAAAGAATGTAAACTCGTCACTGCTCAAGGCCATTATTTACTTGTTGAGGTCTTGTAAGGAAATAGCTGCTGATCTATTGAAGAAGTAAAGATATAAGGTTAGTTTTTTTTTTTAAATATACATAAATGATTACATTTTTTGTTGTGGTTTAAATCTATCAGACAAATCTCGATAAAAACTAATCCAGTCCAGTGTAATAGACACAACACTATACAAACTTCAACAGTGTTGAAAGTTAAAGGTTATGATTTGGAAATCTGTTGTTTGGAGCGACTGTTGTGTTATACTGTAATGTTTATAAGAAATACCATGAGTGCTTTTTAATGTAATAGCAGTTAATTCAAAGTAATCATAATATTTATTCAACATGTAATTTTTGCGCTTGTATCCTATCCCCATCTATTCCTGTGAATTATAATGTGTAGTAAAGGTGAACACAGTGGCATCAGTTTTGTCTAATTTAGACACCGGTTCTTTTCATCCACCTTCCACGCACTGCTGTCAGGTTTCAGGACAATTCTATAGCACGAAATGCATCTCTCTTCATTCTAATTACACTCAGGACCACCTGCCAAGTGCATGTACATTCATTCTGCTCCTAGAAGGGCTCCCTTTGGGGATCTGCCAAGTCCAGAAGCCACTGCAGCTTGTTGCTTCATGATCACTAAACATTGTAATGTGTAGTTGGGTTTGGGATCCCTACTAGTGAAACCATGATGAAGCTCAACCTCAACCTAGACTTTTAGTCTAATTAAGAGTTTAAGATCACCGTTTGAGGCTTTTCTTTATGAGTCTTTGTGAGGACATTACTGTTGATCTAGCAAAGAAGTGAGAATATATTATTGTTATTATTATTAGTAGTAGTATATACATTAATAAAGTAATTATTTTTTAGGCCAACCTAGATAAAGACTAATGTAGCCTAACGTAACAGATCCTATCTTTTAATACACAGCTTGAACTGCTTTAAGTGTTTAAGAGGTTGTGTTATACTGCCTTTTTTGTAGGGCAAACCATAAACAGTCAAAGTGATCAGAATGCTTATTAATGATATTTATTAGAAATATCACAATTCCGTATATATCATGCCTTTAACTTAGAATGAACCACATAAAATGAAATGTGCTAAAGCACTATAATACCCATAAATGGCACATAAACCTATTCTGTAAGAGTTATAGTGAGTCATTAAAAAAATTGTCACAACAAGTGTTATTGTATGCATAGCAACATCAAAATGTTTTTTTTTCATGGTGATGATTTAAGAGTCTATCTATCAGGTGATCCAGGTGATCCAGGTGATCGATATATGCATTTTTTTTTCTCTGCCCGTTCTGTTGGTTTTTGTCTTTTGCCCTTCTCCCCCGTCCCTCTTCTCAGCTGTTTCTCTTTCCCTCTTTCTTTCTCCCCTTCTTTCCCCCAGTCAAGTCTGTCCCGTATTCAGTGAGTGAAAATAAAATGAACAATAAAAGGTGAATCAAATGGACCATTACGGCAAAGCTGGGATGGTCAATTTGGTAAAGTAAATCCGTTGGGCATCTTTCTTTGCCTTTAGACAACAATTCTGATGGCAAAAGAGCCAAACGGGACAGGCAAAAAAAAAGAAAAAAAAAAAGAGTCTATTTTAACTTTTTTTCCATTTTCATTATCATTCTTGTAATATAAGTTTCACTCCATATTCTTGGATTTTTCATTAAAATTTTTCCCAAACGTTCCCATTTACACAAATCGACTCCTTACCTTGTGCATGTGCTCATGTGTCAGGCTAGGTCCTGCTCACAGCCTCTCTCAGTGATAGTGTTAATGCACGTAAACTTCACACTAATTTCACTCTAACATGAACTAAAGAAAAGTGCTGTTTGAGCATTTTGTTTTTTCCAGTCCAGTTTATTGTGACATACCAAAATCATTTTGTGGGAACAGAGAAGTGAAAACAGCTTCCTGCTTAAGTTACATCTCTACACAGAGATCAGCTCACAAAGAAAACAATAAGCAAATTTAAATTGCATTCAATTGAATCATACAAACATGATTAGAGTTTTGGGGACATAATTTGTTGCAAATTGTGCAAAATATAAGGTTAAAACAACATATTTCATGTTATGCCTGATGTAGCTGTGTAAGTACCAAAATGGGTAACATTTAACTGAGTCCTTGTCCTTGAGCCAGCTCTTATGGAACTAAAAAGTTAAAATCACTAAGGTCACATTCCTTTTTAACCTGAAATAATATACCTTATAAATGAACAAATTAGTACATTCATGTTTAATCAAATGATAGCAATAAGCAACCAGTAATAAAGATAAAGACCCAATCATCAGTAATTTCTGACTGTCAGACAAAAGAAGTGTTAAGGAAAATGATCTGAAAAGTTACAGCTTTATTTATTATAACAAATCTGATGTTGATATAAATTTCAGGTAATTTATCTAATTCTAACACAAAGCATCTAATCCTAATTTCAACTGCAAACTGCACTTACATGATATATAGTCATTCTCAGGTGGAGTGCAGGATCCATCCAGATGAGGAAGCTGCATTAATTTGTCGTTTTTGACCCACTGCAGTTTTTGCTGGTCTTCATACAACCCAGTATCAGTGCTATCGTACAGGTGATTACTAATAATAATTAAATTAGCTTATAAACGAACATGTAGTCAGTTCATTTCACTAAAGACCAGCAGCCCAGTAAGATGGAAAAAATATGTACTACACTGGCTGGTCCACTAGAGGACATCATGTGAGTGTCACACTTGTATCCTTGTAGTATAAGCAGGGGGCAATAGTTTACTGAAAGCTAAAATATCCCTATTGACTAAGCTCCTTCTATACTGGCTAAGATTAAGCTCCTGCTGAAGGCTAATACTTTTAACAAATTAATAAAAGTGTAATTACTCAGGAAACCTGATGCAATACCATGAAAAATAACACCAACAAGTTTTTGTGTTATTCTAGCTCAGTCTGGTCTGGCTAATTTTAGGAGGCCATGTCATTTCAGGTGCTGTTGTTCAAGTAAGCAGCATACATGTATGTTGCTACTTGAACAACAGGGAAAAGGGAAATAACCATGTTTCCATCTTAAACAGGCCAATCCCAGTAGTTACCTCTGCATTCTCTCTGTGTTCATACTGAGTTTGAAGCAGGAAATTTTACATTATTCTTTATGATGAAGCTATAATGTTAAAATACCCTTTACCCATTAAATCTGCATACTGTTAGACATTTTAGTTACACAAAGAGTTTCACATTTATTTTGTTATAACTTGTTACACCATAAGATATGGTAAACGACACACTACTAAGCATTGGTAAGGTATTAGTGAATCCCTATTTCATCATTTGAAAAACTGAAAGTACCCTGTGGTTGTTGGTGCTCAGTGTTTCTCTTCCTCTCTTAAACACCTCCTTAGACTCTGATGGTATACTTACATTTCAGAATTCTCTGAAACTCAAATGGGTCATGTTTGCACATTATTTATAAATTTTTGTGCTTTTTCGACTTCCTTTTTGTGTTCTAAAAATAGCTGACATTTTCTGTGGGGGGTAGTGAGTACTTCAAAGTCCACTGAGAAAGTTCCTACTGTGACCCAGCCAGAAAACTTTCAGTTATTTACTAAGATGACACCTTGCTATAATAGTTGTAACTAAAGGGGGAGTTTGTATTAGTTTATATCTTTCAGAGAATGAAATGCAGAAACTGCAGGATATTATGGCCAGGCAGACATCTAACAGGGTTCCTACATTGTAGTGCTTTTATCAATCTGCTGCACAAGATGGTGGAGGAAAGCAAGGCGCTATCATCTTAACACCTTTTTATTTTCCAACATGGTTTCAGAGCCAAACTGCAGCCAAGGGGAGATCTAAGAGGAAAGCACGAAGCACAGCAAGACATAGAGGTTTCCCTGGGAGAAAATAAGCATTTCAAACTAAAATCACGTTAAGGCCAAACTGATCCTTATATCAAACTAGTTGAACAATGTAGTGATGCCTGCATGCAGGAGAGGAGGAGGCAAGGAGAGAGCAAAAGAGGGAAAGCTACAGAGAGTAAGTGAATGAGGAGGATTGGGAAGAGCACCGGACTCTAGGGATCGCAACAAGTTGCCTGAAATCAGTCATAGTCAAAGTCATATATCCTTTATGTTTTTACCTTTGACCTTTAGTTTCACTGATGCAGTTTTATATATATTTAAACTGTCTTACCCACAACTCCTCAGTTCTTCACTGTCTTCACGCCACACAGCGGTTTTTCATCAGCAGAAATGTCAGATAGGAAAGGATTGTGGAATACTCTGATGCACCTGCTGGTGCACCAACTTAGGCACGCATGTCTTTTTACTGACAAAACATTTAAGTAAATTGTTGTAGTTAAGGAAGCATCTCTGAGTTGATTCAAAACAAAAAGAGGATGTCATGGTTATGGGTCAGGTGACCAAGGGTTCTGAGCTTTTGCAATTTCATTACAGATTTTGTGATGTGGGCTTTGTTTGCAGACTCTGTTAATTGTGTGGATGCCGTAGGCATCCACACAATTGAGATCCTGTTGAGATCCTGTTGAGATCCTATTGAGATCCTGTTTCTCTTTATTCTTTATTATTCTAGTTGCTCCGTTTCTTTGCTGCTTAACTACTCCCTCAGTTTTCAGCCGATTTTCACCATTCAAACGGGTACTTATTACTATTATACTTTTTAAAATATTACACTTTTTTCCTTTAATTTGTCCCATTGAAATGAATGGGAAACTTCCACAATTCTGCTAAAACTTGCTTGTCTTTGAAACCTAACTTCTTCCTCATACTTTCACCTGGAAACTCCATTCAAACTTTAAAACGTTCTCAAATGATTGGGCTATTCCTGTCTGATTCAGCTTTTTCGTATGTGTTACCGTTTTTATTTAATGCCTCTTTAAGTTCTCAGTTGCAGCTTTGTGATTTTTCAGAAAATACATGTGTTGCTATGGTTGCTATGCAATTAACTCAGAGTGGACAGTGAAACTTTGTGAATTTTCTCTTCATGTCCAAACAACTTCTTGCTACTCGCTCGATTTCCACTCAACTTCCACAAATTATACATCAAAACGTAGGTATTTTTGCTGGCTTTCAGAAAATGTCACTATCACTGTTGTGGAAGTTACAGATTTTTATCAAATCGCCTCAGAGCAACACAATGTCTGAAAACTCTCCAAACAAAGTGAATGGGGACTTTGTTCAAAATCACAGCTGGAACTCTCTAATGAGAGGCATTTTCAAATCGTCATATGTCCTTAAGTTAAGACACGAGGCTTGTGCCAATTCATCTTCAGACAGTGCTGACACTCAAGGTCGAAGCAGTTTTTACAGTCATCTTACCATTGAGCCATAAATTACGTTTGTTTGAGGGGAGGAAATCTGTCCTCCTCTCATTTTTCAAACTCCGAAAATGAAGCCGTTTCTTCTCTCGTCATATCTCCGCAACCGAGATACAGTCGATTGGTAATGAAACGAATCTTCAGACCAAAGTTTTTGGGTTCAATCCCACCTTGTTCGACATTTTTTTTTCACTACAAATTAATACACTATCACAGACAAGTAATTCATATTAATAATTTATTACAATTCTGCAAAGTTTTATGATTTTACCAGCTTTTCTAATATGGACCTCAGATTCTTGTTAACAGTCCATGGCAGAAATACATACAAGTACACAGCCTGATGAAGCAGACAGAAGCACCTCTGATTGGTTCAGCATTTTCACCTCTTATCAGCACAAATCTCAGCCTCTTCTGCTGTTTTCATTAGAATTTTAAGCTTTTCCAGAAATTCTGCTGATTGAACTCTTTTCAGCAAAATTTTCAGTTTTTTCTGCTGTTTTCAGCAAAAACCTCTTTTCAGCAGAAATTCTGCTGATTGAACTCTTTTCAGCAAAAATTCTGCTAATTGAACTCTTTTCAGCAGAATTTTCACCTCAGTAGGGGTCCTACTGCGTGTTGCATGCGCGAAAGAGGCCCTCTTTCGCGCATGTCAAGCCACACGTGCATCTCCTGCATGTTGTGTCGGTCGTTGTTGTGTACCCTTGCGAATTGTGTAATTTGTACACAACTACATTTGGATAAAACTCCGTGGAGGGTTAGAAACTGTCTCTAAATGGGAGGTCTTCAAAAGAAAAAGTTTGAGAGGGGCTCTGCCACCAACTACATCACAAGAAACAGAGCTCGAAAGAAGTTGCAGCTCAGCCTCCCAGATTTCAGGCGACTTTGCATTCTCAAAGGCATATACCCTCATGAGCCAAAACACAAGAAGAAGGTGAACAAGGGATCTACAGCCCCAAGGACCTTCTACCTGCTCAAAGACATCCGCTTTCTGCTCCATGAGCCAATTGTTGGAAAGTTCAGAGAGTACAAGATATTTGTGCGTAAGCTTAAGAAGGCTTATGGAAAAACAGAGTGGTCTGCAGTGGAAAGACTGAGAGAGAACAAGCCGACCTATAAATTGGATCACATCATCAAAGAAAGGTATCCAACCTTCATTGATGCCCTCCGTGATATCGACGATGCCCTCTGCATGTGCTTCCTCTTCTCTACTTTTGCTCGAACAGGAAAATGTCATGTGCAGACAATCCAGCTGTGCAGGCGCCTTACTGTGGAGTGGATGAACTATGTGATCGCATCACGTTCTCTCCGAAAGGTTTTCCTCTCCATCAAGGGAATATATTATCAGGCTGAGGTGATGGGACAGCTCATTACATGGGTGGTGCCATATCAGTTCTCCCATGATCACCCCGTTGATGTTGATTACAGAGTAATGGCAACATTCACAGAGTTGTACACCACTCTGCTGGGC